GCTATTTTCATTCGTTTTTGGGCTCTTTAAAATATTATAATATATAAATATTATAATATAAATATTTATATTTAGTTTTATTTTAATTTCAGTTTTAGTTTTAGTCATTTTAGTACTTAAAATTTCTAAAACTAAAAAAAAAGTGTGCTGTGCTTCTGTCATTTTCATTCGTTTTGGGAGTTTTATATTTAGATGAATTTTAGTTTTAGTAATTTTATTTCTTCAACTTTTTAAAATTTTAGTTTATACTTTAATTTTGTTAAGTGGTTTTGTAATTTTTTTATTATTATTATTATTATATTGAGCTTTATTTTCATTTCAGTTTTAGTTTTAATAATTTTAGTACTTCAATTTATTTCAGTAAGTTGCCAAGGCAACATTTCTAATTTTCATTAATAATATTTATCTTTTTATATAATAGTTATATTGAATTTTTGTCAGTTTATTTTTTTTTAGTTAGCAATATCAGCCCTGTTTAAAATTCATTAGAAATGTACTCTTTGCATTCAGGGTTTTTAAATGGTTTCTAAAATCTTTGTACAACTTTCAAGAGAAGAGTCCACTGAATTACTTTTTTTAAGGTAAACCCATCTTTGCAGATATTATTTATTGATAAATTCTTGGGGAGTCGCACCACATGGCATTTACCAACCTGAACTAACTTTAGCTTGACATAAAAAGATCAAATTATTCGATTTGAAGAGACTTACTGACCGTGACACCATCACAATGGCCTACAGGGGTCCTCTCAATGACATCATTTCCTATTTGACGTTTTGTATGTCTGAATAAATTTATAGATAGGACAAAAATGAACATGTCATTGACCTTAGACCTTATCTGTCAGGAATTGATTGGATTGTTTGTTATATGGCAGGTGGTTGGAGTCAAAGGGGATGAAAAATAAAAGAGCAAAAGGAAAAAAAATGTTGTTTCAGAAGCAAAGGGAGTCACATAAAGAGAGAGTTTACCCATATAAATAAATATATATATATATATATATATTTTACATTTACATTTTAATAGATTCTTTATTGTATTATGGCGTGCACTCTTATATGTCATTGGCCCTAAATACAAAAAAGCGATTGGGATAAGAAAGTCAGTCATATGTTTTTGGAACGTTTTTGGGTCAACTATCTGTCAAATCACCTCTCGTTCATGTGAGAATCACACACCTACCATCAGTCTTGATCTCAGTGTGCGGCTGCAGGCGATTGCGCATTCTGTTGACGCTCTGCTCTTTAAAGATGACGGGCACAGGGTGTGGGCCGAAGGCGTCCCACAGTTTCCTGGGCGGCGACTCGCTAGGGTTGTTCCACACTATAATGATGCACTGCAGGTGAGGCACAGCCTGATAATGGTTGAGGAGCTTGAGGAGTATATCAGTGCGGTTGTACGTTTGCATAATTATAGTAAAACTATCCTCAGGGTCCGGCAGGGTTAGTGAGTTGTTGGAGCTTTGACGGAGCTCTCGGAGAATGCTGCTGTCCTCATTGTTAGGCAATAAGAAGGCCAGAGAGACTCCAGCCAGAAGCAGCAACAGTATAAAGGCGATGATGAAGTGTGTCCGAACACGGCCCAATGACCTGCAGCAGCACCAATGAATCCTGATGACAAGAGAATAGCATGCCCAGACATTGTCAGGAGTGCATAGAGGCACGTGGGGGCCATACACACTACTGACTTACATTAGGAGTTGCTTTGATGAAATTCATGCACATTGGATCAGCTTGCAATTTAAATATTTTACTTTGATTATTGGTGTGATTTTGATTGATTTTCCCCCATTCAGTTTTGCTTGTGTATGCCAAAGCATCTATCAGGCTCCTCTCTCTCTCTCTCTCTCTCTCTCTCTCTCTCTCTCTATATATATATATATATATATATATGGGATAGAGCAATGTGCATATTCTGCAAAACATCTCATTTTATGTTCCACAGAATAAAGAAAATCATAAAGTTTTGGAATGACATAAAAGTTAATAGTGACATAATTTTTCTTTCAGATGAACCATTCCTTCAAAAATGCTTTCCACATTTTCACATTGACCATAATGGTATTTACAGAATTATCAATGTCTGGATTCATTGGCTGAATTTATTAAAAGGGGGAAGCATTATTATTAAAGGTAGATAAATCACTGTGCACTATCATACAATTTCACTGTCACCATCTCTTTGCAGGTTCTATTCTCAAAAGTTCCAGATGCATTAAAAGTTGTTGTTTAATAGCCCAAATAAAAAGTTCTATATCGAGCAAACACACTAAAGAAAAATGTGCTAACATATGCATGTCAATAGTTTACTTGCATTATTGCGTGACTCATAAATAATTTGATTAATGGTTTAAGGCTGGAACTGCATGCGACGATTTAACGCATGCATGTAGGAAATAAACAAACAAGCATGATTAGATTTACATTCTGTAACAAGACAAAGCAACAAGTACCTCATGGTTTTCCCATCATGTGAGACTCCAGAAGGAAGTTTACTTTCTCGCCCAGGCGCACTGAGTATCTTATAGTGAACGCTGACCGACTCGTTTCCGTGAAGCGGTTCGTTGAAAATATTCGTTCATGCAGAGTGTGATAGGGAGTGCAAAGGGTTTTCGTCAATGATTACACCTCGAATCGTTTTTTTGTTTAAGGGTCTCCAGAAGAGCACATGACGCACACTACAATATGGTTACGGTTCCCAGCAGCTGCACTGCGCTGTCATGTCCTACTGTACCGCTGTCCAATGGACGAAACATTCCCATTCTGGGTTTAGGTGAGAACAATACGGCAACCGAGAAGTGCTAAACAAATCACAATTCTGAAAACAAAATAACAAATTACAAACGCAAATGCAAGTCTAGAAAGCACAACAACAATTCAGAAAACATTATAACAAGTCAGAAAACACAATGACAAATCCAAAAACAAATTAACAAGTCAGAAAACACAACGACAAATCAGACAAACCGGAAGAGGTATAGGTATAGTTTGAGACAGCGCCATTGGTTTGTGATTACTCACCGCTGACTGGACGAGACATCTGTCAATCAACGTATACAGGAAGAACCAGCCGAAGAACAGCAGAGTCGTCCCTACACCTACCCTAACCCTACCCGATACTTTATTTTCAACTTTTTGATTATTTCCTTAATTTTTATTGAAAATAAATGCCTTTACGATGTGATACGAGATTTGAAAAGGGAGAAAAAAAAAGTTCGGCAAAAGGCGGGATCGAACCCGTCAAAAAGCCAACGACACGCACTTATCCATCTACACCACTAGAGCTGATGTTCTACAGCTACTTTTAACTAAATGTAAATATACACTCCGTATTCTTTATTCCATAGTAAGGGCAATTCATACAATACATTTAAACTGAGCTACTTTAATGCCATCTCCGAACTTTCTACCACGACTCTGCTGTTCTTCGGCTGGTTCGTCCTGACCACGACTCTGCTGTTCTTCGGCTGGTTCTTCCTGTATACTTTGATTGACAGATGTCTCGTCCAGTCAGCGGTGAGTAATCCCAAACCAATGGCGCTGTCTCAAACTATACCTACCTCTTCCGGTTTGTCTGATTTGTCGTTGTGTTTTCTGACTTGTTATTTTGTTTTCGAATTTGTCATTGTGTTTTCTGACTTGTTATAATGTTTTCTGAATTGTTGTTGTGCTTTCTGAATTGTTATTTTGTTTTTTAGACTTGTGATTTGTGTAGCACTTCTCGACCACCGTAGGAACAAGCTCATTCATCATGACATTTGCTTGCAGCAACACAATGTTTCTACTCACTGCTTGTTAGCATAAGTGATCGTGAGGAAGTCAGTCTGACGCAGTCGTCATTAAGTGTTTTGGTAGTAATATTGCCGTGGCTCTTGTTTTTTTTTTTTTTGTTAGTGACACCAAACGTATACACAAAACGTTACTGGTAAAGAGTAAAGTTTAGCAGTGTCAAATCTCTTTATTGTCACTAGATTTATAAGAGCCCGGTCTTTTTACGCAAAAATTGACTTTGGCGTGCATGTGATAAGCAGTTTTATGGAAGGTCAAAAGTGCCCAAAACACTGAATTTTAACACGTCAAATACGCGTCTTTCACGTGTATTTAACGTGTATTTCACGTTCATGCAGCATATAGACACAGCCAAGCGTTACGGTTGTAAAGAGGCTTTGGGGAAAGCTGTGGTTGATAGTGGAGTACCACGAGAGGAGCTCTGGCTCACCACCAAACTATGGCCTGGAGATTACGGCTACCAGAGCGCCAAACAAGCCTGCCGGGACTCGTGTGCAGGGCTGGGGGTTGATTATTTAGGCAAACGTGTGACATGTTCAGAAAGTGCCACACATACCTCAAATGATAGATTACTTTGCAAACAGCTCTGAATCACTGGCCGGACTGCATGGTTCCAGGCGTCTCCAAGCAGAGACGTGGAGAGCTTTAGAGGAGCTTTATGATGAAGGTTTATGCTACAGTTTAGAAATGACTAACACAGGCAGTGTGCAGGTAATGTCCCTTCTCTTGTTGCAAGTTTGTGTCATGCCATTGGAGTGAGTAACTTTCGAATTCATCACTTGAACGAGTTGAAGGATCGTGGTGGAATTGTGCCTCATGTTAACCAGGTTTGGCTGAATGAATGGTTGAGAGTAACGACTTTGTCACAACTCTTCAAATTTTAAAAAGAAATCACATCAAGATGAAATAAAATGTAGACTATTAAAAAATAATAATAAAACATATACAATTCAATAAAATACAATAATCTTTAAGATCCCCAAAACAACTCAACTTCATAATTAGGTCCTCATTTAGCTTTATGTATAAAGAACAATGCAGTTTACAACATAATGATTATCTTTATTCTCCATAACACCAATACAATGTTTATTTTCTACACTGTATTATAGTGAAATCCTATAAGCTTTGGTACATTTACAATGTTCTGAAAATTCAATGTTCTATTTTTCAATGCAGTAACTACAAATACAGTTAAACTTGGCACTGTGTTTGATTTACTTGGAGGTGGAGTTTCATCCCTTCCAGCAGCCACTGGAGCTGGTTGAATATTGTCGGAAGGAGAATATCGTTTTTGAAGGCTATTGTCCTTTGGCCAAAGGTCAAGCCCTCACTCATCCATCAATCATGGAGCTCGCCCAGAAATACGGCCACAGCGAGTCACAAATATGCATCCGCTGGAGTATTCAGGTACAGTTTGCTTTTCAGTAGATCCTCACCAGCTGTTTATAGGAATAGTTCACCCAAAAATGAAAATCATCTACTCATCCTCAACCTGTAAAGTTTAAATGACTGTCTCCTATTAACTTAAGACCTGTTACTCTTCCTATGAAAGTAAACTCTAAGCTGGTTATGAGTCACGTAGCTTACAACTGTAAGACTGTAACATTGTATAGTTTCATAATATTTGTGAAACATCGATCTGTTACACATTACAGTAATGCATCTGTATGATGCATGATCATCTTCCAGCTGTTAGTTTTGATTTAATTTGATTATCTTTTCCAGAATGTCATACAAATGCAATTTAGAAGCAGCAGTTATAATGTTATACATTCATTTAAGCTCTACATTTCTTTTCAGAATGGGGTTGTGACAATTCCAAAATCCACCAAACCAGAAAGGGTCCATGAAAACTGCCAAGTAAGTTTGTTTTTGGATCTTAAAGCTGCAAACTCCAGGCAAAAAGAAAATAAGTAATAATAATAATAAACGTTATACAAACATATAATATCAAACTTTATAGTAATTAGCTGAAACAAGACATTTGTCAAAATTAACAACGCAATGGGGGTTATGCACTACAAACTCAGGTCTTTTGTATGTGCTTCATTAAATATGGAGCTGTTTTACTCGAGATGCCTTCAAATGAGATACCAAAAATGATCAGAACCGATGTCCATCATATGTGCAGATTGATATCAAAAAGTTTATTTTTCTTCTTCTCACTAACATTCTGATATTAAAATGGAATAAAATGCCAATAATAAAAACTAGCTAGGTTTGCCGATTTCCTTAAAAGTCCATAGATATCGCCATCAGTTTGTACAACTGTTAATACTTTTCCTGACAAGCAAATGCTATGAGACCAGTTTTCCGCTTTGGTCAGGTGATGTTCGACATATACAACAAAACAATTTTTATGTTGCACAACTACCAAGTAACTACACATTTTTCCTACACTTACTAAACCACGTCCACAGAAGTAAAATAATAATAAAAATAGCAAGTTACTACAGATTTTCTCCCTACTTAATAGTAAACTAATAATAATAATAGTGAATAATATAGATGTTTGTACCAATTTACAGGTCAAGCTATGGTCTAAGCTGATATTTTATTGAATTATTTTTTTTTCAATTTGTACTTGATCATAATTGAAGCCATCACTAGTTTCTCTTTGAGATCATCCTTTCGAAACCGCACTCATAATGTTGTGCTGTTCAGGTGTTTGGGTTCAGCTTGGATGATTCAGGACATGGCAGCGCTGAGTTTGCTGCATGATGGGAGACATGTGAGCTGGGACCCAACTCATGTGGAATGAATGACCAAATCCAAGAAAACCACCTGGTCAGGTGAGCTCGGAAAACAACGAGAGGCTCAATCGCTCTAGTTTGTGATTTCAAAAAATGATCAAAAATGGTATCATATCTGAACGTAATTGTGTACGACAGGGCTGCCCAAACTTGGTCCTGGAGGGCCGGTGTCCTGCAGAGTTTAGCTCCCAACTTGCCTCAACACACCTGCCTTTAAGTTTCTAGTATGCCTAGTAAGAGCTTGATTAGCTGCTTCAGGTGTGTTTAATTGGGGTTGGAGCTAAACTCTTCAGGACACCGGCCCTCCAGGACCGAGTTTGGGCAGCCCTGATGTATGGGATATTAGCAGGTTACAGTATGAAGGATGATCTCAAAGACACTTTTAAATAACCAATTTCATTGTTTGGGGTAAGTTACAGGTTTTGGGTTTTTGTTTTAATTGAATTTTTCAGCTTCATAATTACTTCACAGGTATTTGGATTCCCATTAACAGCAGAAGACCTGGACCGAATTAGTGGTTTACACACCAATCAGAAGCGGATTCATCTCACTTATCCAATCTGGAAAGGATAACCTAGCAATCAAAATCCAAGAGGTTTGTTCTTAGGATAATGACAGGTCCCGAACTCGCTGTGAAAGGAAAGGTTATTTCTGAAAGGAATCCATGATTTGAATGCTGCTGTCACACGTGTGCCTTTTGAAAACTGGTATTTGGTCATGTTGAGTGACTGTTATTTGTGTAATGGTCTAAATATTAATAGTAACAATTAGTAGGCAGAGCAGACGAGGGACAAGCTTACTAGTAACAAAACCACAGATAAATAATCAAGTTGATATTGAAAGGATGTGGTATCAGTTATGACATGTTCTCATATTGATTGTCTATTATGCTGAAATGTCAAATTGTTGGTTAAACCAGAAATGCTGTTCTTTAGCAACGTTTATATTTCTCACACACTCATGTAACTGTGTTTGAGGTTCTCAGAAACCGCACTGTTGGGACTGAAATAAAAAGCAAAAAAATGGAGCCAGCACACATCTTTATAGCAGTGTTACCAATATTGTTTATTCCATCCCTCGCATTGCGAATCATTGTTGAACACAAGTTACATTTTCTTCTCAATAGAACAGGTTTCTGTTAAATAAATCTTGCCCTCTAACATCCAGTTTCAGCTCCCTCTCTCCTTTTAAACAAACAAAAAAGCAGATTGTATTATACAAAAATGCAAACCAATTTTCACACAGTGAATTCTTTTACAAAGTCATAAAATGGCGTAATAATGGCTACATCCACATTGGAGTAAGATGGTTCTAAACATTCCTTAATGGAGTATAATATATATTTATATATAAAACCTTTCCTTGTTGAAATTGAGCCTGTACCTTAATTTAAGAGATTTTACAAGACAACTTGGAAGTAATCATAAAAAAGCCATTACATTTCCCAAAAAGTTAGGAATAAAACTAGACGACAAAAAAAGACAGCCATAACGGTGTTATAAGGTTCAAAATGAGTTAACTTGCATTTCATTTAAATTATTTCAACAGGTCTGTTCAAAACAGACACAATCCAGTCAGAGAAATGAATATCATCCATCAGGAACAGACCCATTCTCAAAGAAAATCACATTATCCTGCAATTTCTCACTTGAGGAAAAATAACCTCATGCACAAAATTGTAAATGAGCCTTACCGAGTCGTTTCCCATAAGTCGCTATGTGTGGATGGTTAAACAAAGGAAAAATATCCACGCAGAAGTAATTAGCTCAGTGAGATCACTGATCATTACAGGAAAAAAAAAAAACGTTCTACAGCACCCAAGCAAGTGCCAAATATTAAATACAAGATTCCCATACAACCCAAAGATTCAAATAAAAGCAGCATCCTGGCAGTGCATCACTCGAGAATGCTTACATTAGCACAGCTTTGGGCACTCTGTGAAAGCCAAACAAAAAAATGAGCGCTGGCTAAACGTTTGCCTGTTGTAGCAGCGATTAGCGATGCGAAACAGAATGCTAGTGCCTAACAAGAACCAAAGAAAATCCGATGTTAGCGGTGGTGGCAGCATGTTAACTCACGAAAATTTGGATAACTGCAGTGAGGAGGAAAATTCTTTTTCAGACTCCTAAGCAGAAATCGTATAAAAGCTTTGCCACGTAACTATGCACACGCCTCTATCGATGAGACGTCAAGATAAGCCGCTGGATTGAAACGTATCCTGCTCAGTTTTAAGCGGTTTGCAATTGTTTTCGTTTCCCATTTGAATATAAAAGGGAATTCACTGAGCGCATTATATCCTCCTGGTGTAACGTTTCTCAATTTAGAAAAATGTTTACTTCATTTTGAAAGTTGATCTTTGAGCATAATTGCTAATTGGATGGGTGAGGTGGCACAGACAATTCTAGAAAGTGTAATTTCATAAAACCTCACAAGAACATGCCCAGGTCATATAATTATTATGGGATGAAATCAATGTTAATTTTCATAAAAATGTCATAGTAGTATTTATATTGCATTGACATTTTTTTGAAAAAGTATAGTTCCTTTTTTTGTCATTGTAAATGAATACAAAAAATTGCTGTATTTAAAAACAAATGCTAGTAAGTCTAGTAGTAGTAGATTTAACTAAAAATCTGTCACTTTTTTGTGTAAAGCATACTATATAATATATTGAAGTATTGATATTGGCCCTATACATTCTTTTTCCTTTATATTCCTTGCTGAAATGTGACCTGGACATGTTTTTATGAATGTCACTTGAATTATTGGGCTACAAAGCAGCATTAAACCACAGGAGAATGTGGAAAGCTCTAAATCCAGTCAGAGGCCAGATTCACCAGAAGGGAAGCAAGAAGCTCAGCTAAATCATAAGCTACACAACACATCTCATATTAGGCAAAGCCTTAACTAGTTCACGGGATCTTCAACAGCATGAAATAAAAACACTACGAGAATTCAATTTCCATGTCGTGGAGAGGGAGGAGGTAACAATTTAGCAAGGAGAAAGTCGACATTCTGGAGAATTTCCTCAGTGAGTGTGATGGACATCACGTGGTAAGTTTAAACCTTGATAGTAAGGTTGACGTCATCTTTGCATGTCGGCACAGCTGGATTTCAATCTCGGCGACTGCTTGAAAAGGCTGCGTTTGCTCTTTGACAAGCAAGAACATCAAATAATGACCGTGACTACAAGTCATCGTAATAAGAGAAATCAACTATATCACCACGGCTATAGCACAAAAACCACAAAAGATTACACGTTAAGAGGTTGCACCCAAAATTGGAGCTGTATATCATAGTCGGTCTCAAGAGACTAGAACAAAAAGTCACACGTGAAGAATGTCATCACTATAGGAAGACTTCAGACTTCGAATAATCTTGTTCTCTTCATTTACGGGGCCTCGTTTGGAAACAGTCATTGGGTTTGTTGTGTAAAAACCCTTTTAAGTCAAAGCAAGCTGATGGAGGATAAACTCAACAGGCCTCGATTCATGAGTCGCATTGAATATTCTGCTTATCTCGTTTCTGCAGAAGTTCATAATCATCTCTGAAGAATTGATTCCAAACTAATTTTGAGTTTATACAGAGGAAACCTAAGACATTAAATAGCTCATCTATAATGAACATCTGTCTGGATTTTTATTTAAAGGGACAGTTCACACCCTCCCCCCCTCATAAGGGTAACGGAATCATGACAGAATTTGCCTTTTTGGTTGAACTATCCCTTTAACAATGTACAAAACTGTAACGCGATCGTTTAGCGCTATGGGACCTGGCATTGTCGAAACTACTGCCCTGGTGTACTTCTACGCAGCGGTTTAGTGGCTAGACTCGAATATGCAAACTCGACCAAGAGAGCCAAATATGCAACTTCACAGAAGTTAGAGAAAACTGATGAAATAATTTCCTAAAAGGCTGTAATCTTTGCGCTGAGAGAAACAAAACTCATCCCGACCACAGAGCTCTGAAGAACACAAGGGAAGTGTTGCACCTCTTCTACTAAAAAGCACACACTCATGGAAAGAAAGTGCTAATTTTTCAAGACATCCGTTTGCATTCTATAAAACAGAATGCTTTAGACACGTGTCACCACACATTTACAAATTCCTTAAGTTATATAGCCAAACCATAAATTAAACAAAACCTGACAACTGATTATATATAGATATCTCTTCCCCCTTGTGTCATCCAGAGCCCAATCGAATTGCCTTACGGCGATACACTGCCACGGTCGTGTGTCATGTGGGGAGACCCGTGTTAACAGTCCATAAAAATGGATTCATAAAAGGTTCTCCATGCTACTTTAAACCTGGCGAGTCAGATCATATTCAAGGCTGCAGAGATCCAGGGAGTTGAACATTTCCACAGAGCCCCGACTGCACAATCAGCAACTAGCCCCGATGCTAAAAATAGTGCGCTCGATTCTCATTTTGATTCCACTAGTTTGTGTCATCCTGTCTGTGCTAGCTTTGGGTTGACTGTTCTTTCTTGATATAGAGGGAAAACAACAAAGTAAGCATTATTCAGATGCCCTGGTTTCCAGGCGATGAGAAGTCATTAAAACAAAAAGCTCATTCACAGAACAAAAAGAAAGAAAATTTATATCACGGCAGATACTGCTCATTTTTCTAAATAAAACAGAAGTCTGTGTCGGTGCATGCATGTAGCAGCATGCAGGTGTGTGTGTGTCCCTCATATCAGCTCTGTCTGAATATTAAAAACACATCTTGTGTCTCTTGAAACTGGTTCGAATTAGTCAAGAGATTAATTTCAAAGCCCTCTGAGAAGGAATATTGACCTCTGGAGAGGTTGTCTCTGTGTGTGTGTGTGTGTGTGTGTGTGTGTGTGTGTGTGTAGGTTGTCTGTGTGTGTGTTATATGTGTGTCTGTGAGTGTGAATACGCTCTTAAGAGCAAGAGTGAACAACACCATTCTTTTGAAGGTCTGAGCTACTCGCTGCTTGGTCAGCGGAGCAGAGGGTGAGAGAAGACGTCTTATTGGTCAGCGAGAGCATAGATCCACCCATACTACTGGCTGGCTTCATGCCACTGGATCCATTAGACACCTCACTGATGGAAAGAAGAGGAGAACATTCAGAGAGAGGAGTGTATTTTGTGGAAACATTACTCAAACATGCCTACTGGCTAACAGAGCAACATGAACACAGACAACAAAAGGGGCTGTTTTAGGTCTTTGCTGATGGTAGCCTGAGGGAATAGACTGCTGAGCCTAACAAGACTAACAAGTCACAGTGTAATAGTGAACAGATGTAGAATGGAGATCTAGGTTCAATCTATGGGCTGCATTTTGATTACTTAAATATTCTCAATTTTCAGTAATTCTCTCAAATTGTCTAAACATTAAGTGTACATAATTAATTACTACATTATAAGTTTACTTATAATTAATTTAAAATTTTAAATGTAATCTTAAATATACAGGCTAATAACGAATATTTTGATAATTGACTAATCTAACCATTATTAGAAAGATTAATCGACTATTTAGGTGATAAATTAAATGAATTAAAATCAGGCTTCGGTTCAGCTAACTAAATTGAACTTTTTTTTTTTAATTCAGCTAATTTAGCTAACTAAACTGACAGTAAATTAATCAACAGCTCTTAACAATTCAATTCACATTTAAGCTTACATGAATGTACTTAAGTTTATTTTACTTCCAGAGTCTGCGCTTATGTAGACAAAATTTGATACATGATGCATTACAAATAAAAGTAGTGTAATACCAGTTGTGCAAAATGGAAATATTCACATATGAACATAACTTCTAACAGTACTCAACAGGACTGAGTCCTTTAAGGTGACATTTAGTCTAATTAGATATCTGCCAGTTCTTTAGAGGAAAAGCATTTGTTTGTTAGGGGCCGTTCCGACAGAACGCACTTTTTTCCATATAGAAATGTGACAGGGCAGTGAAATTAAAATTAAACTGTCTTTTCAAACCTTCTATCTCATTATATTTGAGTTGGCTTGTGTGTTTTGTTTCATGTGATGTAATTTCTGGTAAGGGAGCATAGTAAGTATTAGTGTTCCATAGTTTTTGCAGTGCATTGTGGGATTTTTCAGGGAGTGAACATTCCAGTTAACTGGAAGTATTTCACGATTGAAATTCCTTAAATTGGCCGGCTCCCTGATCACTGAACTAAGGAGCTGACTGAGACGCACTCTCTGTTTCTAGTCAGTCTGAAGACCTTGGAAGGCTGGTTCAGGTGTGTTTAATCAGGGTTGGAGCTAAACTCTTCAGGACAGTGGCCCTCCAGGAGCAGGTTTGGACACCCCTGGTCTAGTGCATGTTTATAGAGAAAAACAATGGAAAAGTAGCGTAATAAAATGCAAAACCGTGTTGTGTGTGAATGGCCTCTTTCCCCACTCACCCCAATGCTAAAGAGAGCTCCTCCAGCTGGGCTTTATGGTTAGTCTGCCCATTCTCAGCGGCATTCAGCTTGTATTCATGGGCCACCTGGTTCTCCTTCAATCATAGGAACATGTTCAATTAGCTTAGACTAGTCATATGAGAATATATGAACACTTGTACAAAAAAATAACCTCAAGGAAAATAAATCACTATCGGTGGCCGTTTGACTCACAATGGTGATTTCACGGGTTCTCTTTTTGATCTCCAGCTCTACGTGATCAAGCTCCAGGCTGAGCTGCTCACTAGACACAGTGCCACCTGAAGACCACTTCACTCCAGCTGCAGGCTGAGATGCCAGCGCACACGCCTGTGTGTGCACGCGAGAGGTTTGTTAATACTACTGAATATAAGACTATATGAATAAGAATACATGAATATAAGGCTGTACGTTGTGAGTCATGAATTTGGATGGAGATTTCATACACACCTCCATGCCGCGTGTCTGCTGACTGATCTGTTGGTTGACTTGCTGGAGCTCAATCTTGAGCTGCTCGCGGTCAGGGGCAGACACTGGCAGACTGGCAAAAACACGAAAAACAATTCAATTATATTTTAATTGAAAATTCTAGTATTGCCATGATGCATCTTTTCTTGTTCTGTTCTGGAAGTGTAAAAGGCAAAGTTCAGTACCGCTCGCTGAAGTGTCCCTGAGAGTTAATGCTCTGGTGCTGAGGGTACGACGCTCCTCCCCATCCACTGTGGTTTCCATATGGATAGTCTGCTGTGAGGAGAAAACAATTTACCAAAAACAAAATGATGTTTCCACAACTGTTGAAGAATGAAAGTCTAAAAGTGCAGTTACATTAGTGAAATGTCTGCAAAATTCTGTGGGCAAAATTGTGATTTTGTATTCCAGATTCTATGTGTGGAAATCTTTGGCCGAAAATTCCTAAACAAATGGATTCCTTTTGAAGTGACTAGATTTTGCCCATGAAATTTGCAGAACAACTGTAAATATGACTGCACCTTAAATTAGGGGTGCTCCGATTGATCAGCTACCGATCACTATCGGCCGATAATCACATTGGGATGTTTGATCGGCGGTCTCTAAAAAGACCGATCTCAAGCTGATGAGAGGTTTGGCACGACATGCAGCAGCACTGTCTCAGTCTCTGTCCGGCGCAGGTGAAATAATTATAATGCTGAAGGTGAGGTACTCACCTTCATATTTCTTCATTAACTTATAAAATAATCTGAAAACCTTGTGTGAGACGTAATTTCTCAAACAGCGTGAGTGAATCACCGTGCGCGTTCTCTCTCTCAAAATACGCAAATGGCTTAAAATCACCACACATCGCCTCTGTCTATAAGCGAGCTGCACTCTGCACAGTTGACACAGGAATTGTCACTTGCACAATCGAGGCAGTGTCACATCGCCACTAAAGTTTATAAATTGCATTTCTTTTTAATTCTTGCCAGTGTTTAACCATTCAGCGCTCGCGCGGAGACTGGAGACTGAGCGCTCATGCACACTCGCAGCGCACACACATAATGCCAGGTTCACATTACTCTGTTTGCAGTGCATATGTGGTGCGTATTTTTTCCGTGCTCATGTTAATGGATTAAAGCATTCACACTGCACACCGTTGCGGTGCGGCAGTGCGTTCCAGGAGTTTCCGCATTTTTTGCAGTAAATATGAACATGGATTGACACGAAAATGTAGTAATTACATCATAAATGCATATTATTAAAGTCTACTGTGTTTCACAGTCAACACATATGGCTTTTTGGCTAGGTTTAAAGGGAAAGAGCACTTTTAGATAAGGCAATAACAGATGGCACTCGTGGAGGTAGCAAAACAAAGTTCTTCATGAACGGCAGGATTGCTTGTAATAAAGATTTCAATGCAAAAGGAAAGGCAGTAGAGCTGACTATTTCTGTCAATGGTAAGTTTGTGATAACGTAAGAAAGGTAATTTAAATGTTTTGCCACTTGCTTGAGCAACTTAATGAGCAACTTAAATCTAGAAGTAAATGCAAAAGTAAAAAGCATTGAATAATGTTTTGCTTATATTTATTTAATATTGAATCAGATTTTATTTTTACATTTTAATGTCCAATTCCAAAGCTAAAGTTTTTGTATTTTTTTAAAGATGTTTATATAGTATTCATTAACTTTTATTTATTAGTTTTACTTCATTTAGTTTTAGTTATTTCAGTTATTTTTAAGTTATTTCGTTTACTTCACTTAAACTAAATAAAAAATGAGAACCATTGCCTTGGGTAGCTGAAATATGGTTGTAGTTTTATTTACGGTTTTAGTTAACGATAATATCCCTGGTTTGAACTAATGCACTTTTACAGAGTCAGGCCATACTAAAATACTCCAATAGTATTTCATTAACAAATTATGAGCAGATTTTTAAATGAATCGGTTATAACAAATCACGAAAGTACTAAAGGTACTAAGAATTATTAATGGAACCTTTCAGGCAAGTTCCTATTCCTATTTATGACTAAGTATTAGGTATTATAAAGATGTCCAGTCACCTGTCATGGTCATGTGTTTGGAGCCCGAGGCCTGTGAGGATGCTATGGCCTGTACAGGCACAGTGGTCTGGTAACCCGTTTTAGAGGTACGTGAAATGGCACCAAAAGGAGACACTGTGGGCAGAGGACCAAAGGGAATGATGGGATCGTCGTCTTTGGCTTCTGCAGAGCGCCGCTGGGTGTCCAGTGGAGGTTCACAGAGAACTTTCCCCTCTGCATTCTGTTGTAGGACAGTACAGGAAGGAAACGACAAATAAAACCTCTGTTATTGATAGTCTTATCTGATGTACGGAAACACAAAGCATGAGGTAGATCACTTGCCATCATCTCCACAGCACTACCGACATCTTTTGGTTTAGCATCCTTGGAGCCAATGTATGATCCTATGGTGTCACATGACCAGGGGGAATACTGCCCAGCGTAGTCCGGCTCCCGACTTCCAAAGGCTTTAGAGCCGTCCTCCAAATACTGCAGACATTCAGAATTCAAAAATGAAAAAGAGCAATGTTGAGCACTATATTCATGATCCATGAAGGACAGCAGGATGTTGTTCAGGACTCACCTCCCGAGGGTAGTCGTTGGGGAACGGGTGTGTAGGGAGAGTCGGGGAGGCAGCAAAGGGGGGAGGAGAGATGACTTTTCTCTCCTCTAGCTGGACAAGCAGCTCTTTGCGCCTGCGATGCAAGTCATCCAGACTAGGCTGAGAGCGGCTATACGGGTCCTGCTGGGGGCGAACATATAAATCAGATTGGGAGATTTACACTGATTAACTGACTAGAGTTGGTTGAGGTGCAACAAGTGCTCAAGTCAAGTGACTTAAAAAAACGTAAAAAAAAAAGGTAATGACTCTTAAAATTGTCTAAATTTACAGCATGTTTCCATATGTTAACATTAGTAGGGCTGCTATATAGATTTTGATAATCGATTATTTGGCCTAGGTCTGGGCGATAAAACGGTATCGATATTTATCGACGTTACACCTTCTTCGATATTGATCGAAAAATTGTTCGATATAGCGCACGATACAGGCACGTACTATGAGTGACGCAGACAGCACACACAAACACGAACACATGCTGAAATGAGTGCTGTGCCTGCCTGTGATGAGGAGATTGTGAATAAAGAATGAATATTAGTCGAATTTAAAATAAACATTTGCATTTGAATGTTAAGTGTGCATCAGGGTGCGCGAGATGCGGTGATGTAAGTGACGTTTTGTTGCATTTTAATGTTTTGTTAGTCTAGCCCACCAGATGCGCCGCTGCTGCGTTATGCATTCAAAATATTAGAGAACTCTAGAAGCTCAATGCGGAGAAGATCTTGAATGGGTTAAAACCGAAACCAAGCCATTCACACAGAAAGTATATTCAGCGCATTTTTTAGACGGACTTATGCAATTTACGAAATTATATTTTATATAATTTGAGTTAATTTAGACGTAATGCACGTTTTTATAATGTTACTTCCTTGCGTTGACAATTTAAGTGCGCTGCATTATTTTGCTCATTGCGCCCTCGGGAGACAATTAGACCTATACAATAAAGACCTATTTAATCTGCATATAAAACATTAGAAATTAGATATTTGTTTAATTTTGATTGTGTTTGATTGTTAAAACAAAAAATATTTGTTGTTTGTCTCAAATTGTGATAATTATAAATACAGTGGTTAAATTTAGCAATTTTTTTCTATTGCTTTTTGTTTTAAAAAAGGTTATAAAAAATGTCAATAATTATCGATACCGAACGATATGAAACATTATATCGTTGATAATTTTTTTAGCTATATCGCCCAGCCCTAATTTGGCCGATTATTTTTTCGATTAATCGTATAAAAAGCCTCTTTTTTTTAAATTGACAAAACACACTATTTCACATCCTGCCCAATGCTGTCCTTCAAACAAATGTACCAACTGAATGCTATGAAAACATACTGTATGGTGAATATATCTCTATGCTATACATTATGTGTAAAAGAGTTATAAAGCACAGTTTAAATGGACAGTTTAAACAGACAAACTGACAAAGGACAGTTTAATTCCCTAAATTAAAAATGGAAATAATAATGATGAAGATAGTAAAGAAAAACACAAACTCCGTGTTAATAGATAAGAGGAATGTTCTGCTGGAACACACACACATTCACTCTGAACACAGTAACCTGTTACTGTCATTTCTTTATTCTGTAAATGTAAGTAACGTCTTACATTTATATTCAATCACACTCTGTTATCCCTTTACAGTTACTATCATAACATACTTGAATTACATGTTGACTTTTAAACCTAAATTTAACGTCCAATAACAAATATATCAGCAAAATTTATATTATTGCACTGAATACTTATTTTCTCCCTCTTTACTGTGTTCTGTCTGTTTGACGCACATGCACACCTCTGCGCTCGTTCAGTGAAGTCTGAAGTTTAACGCAGACTGTCAGGACGAGCCTTCATGCAAAATAGAAACATTCACCAGAATATGTAACATTAACAGTAAAGGATATTACCGTAAAATGCAGTTTATGCGCTGAGGAAACATATCTCACACATTAAACAGCACATGCATCTATCAAAGCGCCTGGCAGGGCAAGCCATGTTAAACATCACACTAATGCATTAGCTTGAAGTTTAAAATAAAGCATTCTCATGTTTCGGGCAGCTTGGATCACGCATCTTTCCCGCAGCAGCTCACTCTGATTCATCCGCTATTTTTAGATGCATTCGTCCATAGAAATGCGTTATTCACTGCTGTAATTTGACGTGACTGGCGGAAGTTTTCCGTGCGTGGCGGGTAGACACGACTAATCGATAATGACATTCGTTGTCTATTATTTTCATTATCGATTTCATCGATTAGTTGTTGCAGCCCTATTTTAAAGCATTTATTAATCCTAGTAATTTCAATTAATGTTAATGTCAGCATTTACTAATCCATAACTAGAATTAAAATTTAAATCTGCTAACATTATTCAAAGGACCTGAGCGCGCACACACATCCATACATCATATAATAATGATAATACGTTACTATATTGTTTTCTTGGAAGCTGTAAAAATTAAAATAAAAGCTATTACTAACTTCAAGTTATATTTTTTGTATTAATTATATTAAAAAGTCAATGTGTTGGAAAAATAGCAATAAATATTATACTAAACATATTAAACCCGACTGGATTAAATGAAGAGATGGATATTGCATGTTTTTTGTAAAGGGAAATTGTTGGCATGACAATTATCCCTCACTGATTAAGATCAGCTGTCAAGAATTTGCAATTGTGCCTATATAAGTGTGCTGTTGCTTTTTTTTTGCCTTATGAGCACTGAAGAAAGCATGGGTTGAACGTCTGCTCTTTGGTCTGTTTTTAATACACTTTGCACTTTGTCACTTTTTTCACTTCTTGCATATGGAAAATAAAAACTATATTTTTGAGAGACCTTTTTTGGTCTGATTGGAAAAAAAATGTCAGTGAGCTGACTAATTCAGCGACTTGTTGGACGAAAACTCTCTCCCTTTTGTTCTACGCACCTGGAAACTTATTGTTCTTTTTGAACGCACACAATTCCTGTTTGATCACTAAACATAATATTAAAATCATGTTCATTAAATAAAACTTATTTGTAAACAACAAATGTTATAGGCATGCATGTCAAGCAAGGGGAACTACTGTTTAGCATGCAAAAACCTCAAGAAGAACAGAACTCACTCCTATGTGGGACCGCATTTGGCTGGGGTGCGGTCCAGGAGGATAGTACCCCTCCGGTGGGTATCTGTCTCTGGATGACGCTTCCTGGGGGTGGTACAGAGAACCTGCAGCCCCTGCTGGAGGTGGAGGCATAGCGGCTGGTGGAATGTCCAGAGGAACTGGGCTCATCCTGACCAAGTCGTCTCTGGGCGGGGCAAACTGAGGTGGGGGTACAGGATAGTGTCCATGTCTGCGACTGTAATGGGAGGCTGGTGCATATGTGTGGGATGAGAAAGGGGGACCAGAGTGGTGGCTTGGATATTGGCGATCTGGGATGTAACCCGGGTAGGGCTCTGGGTAAGGTGGCACTGCAGACTCGCCCGGGGGAGGGGGATTACGTATATAGCGGGGAGGGACATATGGTGGAGGTTGGTATGGGTAGGGGTTGCCTGTAAGAACACAAAGGTTATGAGCATTATGACACACCGAGACAAATATTTAGTTAAAAAAATTGGTGTAATAAATATTTTGATTTGAATGAATGGCTGACAAAACATTGATTTAGACTGTCACGAGTGTTTGCATGCAGTCAAGAGTTGTTTTAATCTACTTTCACACTGCAAAGAAAATAGGCCAATTAAGAAGATTTGCGCTTGCACTGTCAAATGCTCAGTTACCTACATCTTGATTTTCCTAAGGGTGAGTAAATTATCATCAATTTGATTTATTTATTTTTTTCTCGGTGAACTATCCCCTTAAGCAAATCTCTAAATGAATATCCATTATTCATTATTTACATTATAATGTTGCGATTGCCTGAATTCACTTTTCAGTTTTTAGCATTTTATTGTTTTATCTGTTAATACAAATAATAAATCTGCAATTAAACTGAAAATTAAAAATAGACCTAATTCCCTCAACAAAAATCTACAGCTATTCAGTAACACCAAGCTAAGACAAACATCAACTGATATATTCAAGTTAATTATTTAGCATACATGTTAACAAATTAGCCTAGTTTATTTAAATCGGTTGGTCGGCAATACCCAGCATTCATCTTTTACACCTTTTTTTAAATTACCTGGTTAGGACACAGTATTAGATGGCATTAAAGAGCTCCAAGAATCTTGAGAGCAGAAGACTTTCACAACCAGAAACCATCCATATGAGCAAATCCAATCACCTGTTGGGTACTGAGCATCATACTGAGATCCTGAGGGAGTAGGTCTGGTGGGCTCTGGATAGAAGAGCTCGGGCTGCTGTTGTGGATACATCTGTGGCGCACCTCTGGGCATGACTGGCACCTGTTTGGACATGGGTAAGTGCTCTGCCCTGGGGTGAGGCACAGGGTGGGACGTCAGGGCCAAGCTAGATTTATCCAAACTTAAGAGAGACAAGAGGCAGAAATGAGTTGGTGCTAAATTACGTTGTTCCTTCCTGTTAAAGCCAAACCCATTAAGCACTTCTCACCATCTCAGCACTTTTGCTGTTGGTCTTGCACTCAAAACAATTCAGATACTGACAGAAAAGCAGGGAACTCAAACTGAGAAGCAAAGGCTTACGTGTCGGGTGGCGACCCAGGAGCGCTCAGGCTAGTGGCATCCATCTTGGGCTTGAGTAAGAGGTCATATGTGGAGGGGTCTGTGCCTCTGGGGATGAGCTGGGGAAGAGGGGCCCCGTTGGTAAGTGTAGAGGCCTTTCGCCCATGCTCCAGCGGGACCACCTCCTCAGGCAGCAGGCCAGGGGTGCAGGGCACTCGCGCAGCAAGACGTTTGTTCATTTTACGGTACCTGCAGAGCGAACAGCAAATGAGATTCTGATTGTTAAGCACGTTTTTGGTTTAACACTAACCAGATATGCAAGATGTTACAAGGGCACTCACTTTTCCAGCTCCTCCTGAGAATGGGCGAAGGTGCAGCTAGCTCCTCTGGGACAGCCTCCTTTCTGTTTCATGTCTCTGCACATGTACGTCTTGTATTTGCTGTGCTGTGGAGGCTGCTGCGTGTCGGCACCCTTTTTGCTGTGGTTCTGGATGAAGTCCACTAGGCCGTGCACCACCGTCTTTACCCCCACCAGCCCCTTCGCCAGCTGCTCCCAGGTCGGAGGAGGAGCATCTGAATAAAGATGAATCAAAACAAAACATCACAGAACAGAACAGGTACAGATGTTACTAATTCACTCTAGGGGTGGGTGGTATGACCTTAAACTTTAAATTACAGTATGAGTAATTTCATACAAATTTATTTTCACAGTATATATCAGACACCCTAAAAACGCCGCAAATATATCCTACATTTTTATATTATTGTATTATATTACAATTATATTGTATTATATTGTATTATATTACAAAATTCACATTTTGTCACAAGATGTCTCTTATTCTCGGCAAAGCTGAATTTGATCAAATATACAGAAAAAACACTAATATTGTGTAGCATTGCAATAAAAAAAAACTGCCTTCTACTGTAAAATGTTTTGACTATTTTACTGTAAAATAGGAGCAGTTGTGGCCTAATGGTTAGAGAGTCGGACTTGTAATCGAAGGCCGCAGGTTCTAGTCTCAGTACCGGTGGGAACTGTCCATGTTCAATACCCATGACTGAGGTGCCCTTAAAGGGTTAGTTCACCCAAAAATGGTCCAACCAAATAACCAATCATCGAAGACATTATTGCGACTAGAAGTGTGAATCTTCACTTGCCTCAGGATTCGATTACGATTCAGAATGTAATGATTCAACTATAAATGATTCTCAATGCAGCATGATGCTTCTTTTTCTCCAATTATTTTCTTAATAATTGCTATATTATTTATAATATATTTTCTTATTTTATCATTGTTATTAAAATTAAGAACAAAGATGCAAATAAGCAGTGAACAAATATAAGAAAAATTCACATTTTACATCTAAACAGAATCATTCAAGTAAGAAAAACAAATAATCAAATGTAAAAATCACTGTATAGTCTTCAGTGTATTCATTACAAATAAAGCAGTTCAATCGAGAGCACTAGTGATTCCCTCTTTTCTTTTATTGTTTGATTAACAATAATGAAACAAACGGACTATATATTAAGACCTACTGTAATATACAGATCTAATATAATGTTACACATCAGATGTTTTTCACTAACAGTTAACCAAAAGTTCACTTAAAACATAACAGATTATGTTTATGTGAATATTTGCCAAGACAGATATTTTGAAATACTGCAATTCTGTGTGTATGTGTATATCGGGATTGCGCTCTGTCTTTGTGCGCACGCTTCGGACGTGTCAGTCAGCGCGAGTAAGATCCTTTTTGCGGCTTATTGCTCTTAACTCTTTTAACATTAATCAAGTCCCGCACTTTATTTTCTCGTTCCTGCATGTTCTATTCAAAACTAAAACCAAAACATCAGACACAAGTGGTTTGCTTCCGATGGACAAACGCAACTTTTCAAAACAAAGGAGGTAGACGTCTCAGAAAAAGTACAAATAAAGAACATTTTAGTTGTTTAATAACTATGCGTTTCATTGGGATCACTAGACAAGGGTTTAATGATCTCATTTTTGTGAAAACCTCAAATTCGACCAAAATTGATATTTTTCACTCGTTTTGCCTGTAGCTCGTAATTAGCCTGTGTGCATTCAGAGTCATTTTGCCAGCACGGGTCATACCGCTAAGCTCTAATTCAGTTTCTCAGATGCTCAGTCATCATCTTAGGTTTGTCTGTCTTAGCAAACCTGGACTGGGGTCGATGTTAGCGAGTAACTCGAGGTGAGGTCTCAGCCGGTTGAGATTGGCAGGGTCACCCGTCCTCTGCAGTGCGATGGTCAGCTCCTGCACGCTCTGAGCAAATGATGCTGGGGTCTGCAGCTGAAGGACAAACAGTATTCCCTTTGTCCATTATTCTGAAACACAATACTATTTATGCCATTTGAAAGAGTGCATGAAATTCTCAAGCCGTGCAAACAGACGGCAGTTATACCTTGTCAATGATGGACTGCATGTGAGACTTATGAGACTGGTCTCCATACAGCAGAGAAGACCACTGATCGGGTGCGATGCGGAGCCCTCCCTCCATTGCGATTTGAACAATCTGAGAGTCGTGTTCCCGCCGAAGTGCCTCATACGTGCGGAATTCCTCTTTCAACTGCATTAGTGATGAATCCTCATCTCGCTTAGTCACCTACAACACATAAGAGATTCAATTGAAACCTCAGAGCTACAGCTGATAATGTTATTGCAAATAAGCTGTTGAGGTGATGAAAAAGTTAATTTGCACATTAAAAGCAACAGAATCCCAACAAATCTGAATATGAATTAGAAAACAAAACCGAGAAAAAAAAAACTCATAAGATAAGCATCTCATAAGATGCTTGTGAAAAGCTCAGATGAGTTCAAGTGCACAATAAAGGGTACCTACCTTGAAGCAGGAGGCACGGTAGAGGAGCTGAACTACATGTCCAATACTGGTTTTGGAGGCCTGAGGAAATCTTGGTTCCAGTCTCTGGACCACAAAGAGGACCAGAACCTTCCTGGAAAGAGCGGATCCATCTTCCAAAGCCAACAGCACCAGCTTTAGTGCCTCCTCCTGCATGGCTGTAGATAAAAAAGGCCAACATATAAGACACTAGAACTTCCACAAGACCGAATTTTTGCGATGACCATTCATGTTGGTGTGAACAGGCTTAGTGTTATCTTACCAGGGCCCAGGAACTGGCAGCCTCTGGCTCTGACAGCAGCCCATAGGTTGGAGGAGAGCTGCTGGGGGTTTTGGTGCTGCAGAATGAGCTCAGTAACAGTTCTTTCACCCAGAGAACGGGCTGCCCGCATGGCCCTGACCCGTCCTTCCTCTTCCACCAGCTGACAGTGCACCAGAGTCACCAGCTTCCTCTGCATGGGGCGGCTCAGCATGCTCTGAGCAGCATTACTCAACCCCAATCCTAGATATAGCCAAAAATATGCATCAATTACTTGCCCATTCCCATTATACTGGCTTAAAGTTGGCATGAGAAGAAAATTCACCCTTTTTTTTAATGTATCTAATTGAACTTACAGTGAACAATTAAATCAAAGCAGCTAATAAAAAATAAAAAATAAAAAAAAAGATTGTGAGCCCATATTTTTTTTTTTAATTGTCATGACTCAATCTTCTGGTGAAATTACAGTCTTCTTTCTGGTGACATGCTGTATTTCTCCAATCATTTAGTCCACTGAAACCCCACCACTTTCTTCACATCCACTGAAGGATAGAACCAAGTCACCTCCCTACTTTTTTTTTCCATTTTGGATAATCTGTGTCACTCAGATATACATCACAATATGGAAGAAAAGTTCTGTCGCACACTTTCATTACATCACAACTATGTAAGTAGAGATGGACTGATAATCGGTTTTACCATTTTTTTCCCGATATGTAAGCATTTTTCCATGATCGGATATCAGTTTTGTAATATCGGATTTACGATATGCACCATCTTGTGAGCACTTTGAGAATTGCACACAAGACCGCCATTACGGCACTGCATCTTAAAGAGAGACGAGTCAACACGGCGTTTACAGTTAAAGTAACTTGATTTGCTTTAACTGATATGCTTTATTTAACATATCAGCCAATAATGCACAAATGAGATGCGTTACATAATTGATTGATATGCTGTTTAAGCTTGCCGTTGAGAAAGAGGTAAACTCAAGGAGAGTCATGCAATCCATAAAGTTACTCCTCAATAGGCATTGGACGATAACCGGTTTCAAGGTATACCGTGGTTTGGAAAAGTCCATTTCAAAACCACTAAAATTTTCCGTTATAACATTCCTGCGGTATGCACAGTTTTTTTTACGTGTCGTCAAAGACGGAAAGTGCAGGACTCCCTCAGTTGTGTGCAGCGAAGAGCGTAGAGAGTCACACGACCCCTCCCCCTCCGGTTGGTGCGAGCGGAGTCGACTGCATTTTTTTAATTTATAGGGATTTTTTTTTTACAGAAAATTATTTATTTATGTTCTGATTCAACTCGCTCAAGACTGCCTAAATTACATTAACGTTTTCTATATAACCTTTATTTCGTTAATAAGCATCCAAGTAATTACAGTTCTGTGGAAATGATCTCCGCAGGAGATCGCGATTTAAGTACATATTCTGTGTAAGCACATAGATAAAAACAGTGCTCTGAAAGCAGGCATTTCATAATCTAGACAGACAAAAATACTATTAATAACTCTGATATAACATGCCAGTTGAGATCGACTTGCAATTGCAATGATGTATTTAATAAATTAATGATTACATTTATGCAAAATTGATATAGACTGCCCTGTGGTTTATTTACGTTTGGTTTAAAACTTTAAAAAGACTTTACGTATGACATTAAATCTATTTTATGTATTGTTAATATTAGTGTTGGTAGAATGCTGAAAGACTGTTTTCTACACTGCAGTGTTGTTCTGCTCAACTGGTTGTACTAAACTACACTAAAGTAGCAAAGCTTTTTTTATTCAGGTGGTTTAGAATGTTTTATGCTTTCTATATTTATGTTCTTTATTTGTTACCTGTTTGTTTAAAGGGGTCATATGATGTTGCTAAAAAAGAACATTATTTGGTGTATTCGGTGTAATGAAATGTGTTTATGCGGTTTAAGGTTAAAAAAATACATTATTTTCCACATACTGTACATTATTGTTTCTCCTCTATGCCCCGCCTTTCTGAAACACGTCGATTTTTACAAAGCTCATCGGTCTGAAAAGCGAGGTGTGCTCTGATTGGCCAGCTATCCAGTGCGTTGTGATTGGCCAAATACCTCAAGCGTGTGACGGAAATGTTACGCCCCTTACCATACTGTGATGCCGTGTCCCGGCCGGAGCGACGAGACAAAAACATGAAAACCCATTATAAATGAGGCATTTGTTGCATCCAGTTGGGACATAATTACGGATTATAATTACTTATACTGTTTTTTTACGCGTTGCATTGTATCGCGCTGCGTAAACATAAAACCATGTCTGCATTTGTGATCGGAGAAATGACAAACTACAAACGCTGCCTCTACACTGCTCAAAACTCGCGTTTGAATCGTCAGTGGCAAAT